CGTGCTCCAGAGCTGGGATCCGAATCTTGTAAACCCTTGTACTTGGTTTCATGTTACTTGCAACGGCGATAACCACGTCACTCGTGTGTATGTCTCAAAATTTCCTCTCTTTTTTTATTTTTTTATTTTTTTAATTACTGCTTTTGGGTGTGCTATTATTTAATTAGTCGATTTGTATGTTTGTGTTTGCCGAGGGACTGATCTAAGAGTCACTGAGTTCAGCGAGGATGCAGCCTAATATATACTTTACAGTACATTTTTTTTTGTGTGTATGTGTATTAGAACACACAATGTTTTTGAGAAAGACACAAATTTTGATTTTTTGGCATATATGTACATATAGTCTAATTTTTGTTTAATTTGCTCATAGAGGCTGGATTTTGTAGTTATTATTTTACTCTGGTTAGAGATTTGTATGACAGTTTAGTTTAGTGATAAGCCTGAGATTTAGAATACGATAATCTTTTATTTTTTTATTAGACAAATTATTGAGTATTCGAGTGAAATAGGTCCAATTGGAGTGGAATATATATAGAGGGTTCATAAGCCATCTCAATTAGTTTTGAGATTGACGTGGTTGTTGTTGTTGGTTAGTTGCTAAATTTGAATTTGATTTATTTGTTAAAAGTTTTAGCGTTCACTTGACTTGCTAGCTAACAAGTCTTTGTTTTGAAATTAGTAGCAAAGTGATTCCTTTTTCTAAAAGGTGAATAGGGTGTCGGCATTTACTTTAGTTTCACTTACTCGAGGTTCTTATCTTGACATGTCTATGATCTATATGTGAAGGATGGAGACGTGCGATTTTTTAATGATCTTTGTCTTTCTTGTGTTTCTGATTTCTCGTGGATGTACACCTTTTGTAAAGTTCAAGTGATTTGTTTGTTTTGAAGTGTGTAAAATCCTTCTTCTTTATTTTGTAATCCATGTTTCTTCTGGATGCGTTTGTTATTAATACACCACTTACTTTTACTTCATAAAAAAACAGTGTGTAAAATCCTTGTACTTTAAAGGTAGTTGATTGGTGGCAGTGGTTCAATAAGGGTGCCTTACTGAAGTTTTGAGAAATCTCGGTGCAAGCATGGCCATTTTCTGACATTTTTTTTGTTGTCAAATGATCATTTTATTGGCAAAAATTTGGATGTTTATGATATATTATACTTATAAAAAAATGTTTATGATAGATTGTATGTCTTAGAGTTGCATTTCCGGCTTATTAGGTGACTATGGAACACCTAGATGTTACTGGTTGGATTTGTATGTTGATTGGACTCCTTATCGATAACCGAAGATTTCTAAATACGAATAAGACAGAAACCTAGTTTTTTGAGATGCAAGAGGAGAACTTTCTTGTATCTTCTTAAACATGATGGCTTGGTCGAGAGAGAAAATAAGTTTCAGACTCATACATTGGAAAACTTGAGATGCTCAGCCTGACATTCCTTGTGTACAAAGATTCTTGTCAATTTGCAAACCTGAAGTAGTTATATTTATACCGAGTAACAGTAGCGTCAAAGAAAAAAGTCCTTTCTAATTAGGAATGACTCGTGTGCAATCAACTGGTCCTTCCTTAAGGTTAAAATTACACGTCTCCTAGTTATTCTCCGCAGGTTAATGGGAGAAACTTCCTTTTATTCCTCACACCCTTTTTCTCTTAAATGTTTGCCTGAAAAAGAGTGGAGAAATTCAGAAGAGGAGCACTGCTTTGGTTTGCTTTATTTTTGCCCCGTACTCATTACAAGTCTGAAGTATCTCAGGGTGGTAACGTTTCTGCAGGGACCTTGGCAACTCAAAGTTATCTGGTCATTTGGTACCTGAACTTGGAAAGCTGGAACATCTACAGTATTTGTGAGTAACTATTTTAAATCTTGAATTGACTTGCCATTTCTAGTCAATGATTCTATTGGTTTTCAAGGAATTATATATATGATGTAATTGTTTTACTGCTTCAGGGAGCTTTACAAAAATAATATTCAGGGAACCATCCCTAAAGAGCTTGGCAACTTGAAGAGCCTTATAAGTCTGGATCTGTACAACAACAATATTTCAGGGACAATCCCTCCTTCACTGGGAAAGTTGAAAAATCTTGTTTTCCTGTAAGTT